GCTGAGTGCCTCCTGCCGCCCTCATTCCGCGCGCCCACCTCGTCTTTCCTGGGTGGGCTGCAGCTGAGCCCCGGTGCACCGGAACAGTGCCAGGGACCCCTGCCCAGAGGGGGACACCAGGGTGGACACAGCCGGGGAGCAGCCGCGGCCCGCCCTCCAGCGGGGTGCGGAAAGCCGGTTCCCGCGGCCCGGCCCGCCAGGGGGCGCCCTCCTGTGAGCCGCCGCCCAGTGCTGTGTGTCCCTCGGCCGCCGCTGGCCTGCTCTGAGCGGGTCCCTCAGTGCTGATGGGCTGCGGGACAGGGCGTGCTCAGGGCTGCTCGGGCCGGCGACCCTGGGGATGTGTCAGGGAAGCAGCATGTCGGCCTCTGCCCCAAACTCCCTGAACTTGGAGCCTGGAGTGGCAGGGCCAGCAGAGCACTCAGCACACCTTCTCTGATCGCTGCTGCTCCAGCGTGGTCACCTTCCAGGGTCGCTGTAGAGACTGACCATGACCGCTCCGACACCAGCTGCGGGAACTGCGGAGGGCCTTCGTTTCCCTTTTTTTTACTTTATTTACACTACTACTTACTACTATTATTATTATTATTATTATTATTATTATTACAAAAGGACAAGCTGCTGTTAAACAGAAGTGCTATGTGACCCCACAATGCCACCTCCAGCTGTATACCCGGAGAATTAAAAACACCCTCACCAGTCCTCACACACCCACACTCCTGGCAGCCGCTACTCACAAGCGTCAAAGGTGAAAGCAACTCGCCTGGCCATCACAGAGGGATGGGCCAGTGAGCAAACGGTGGAATATTAGTCAGGCACGAAAAGGACTGAAGTAAAGATGCCACAGTGCGGTTAAACCTCAAAACAACGATATTAAGGCGTTGACAAGAGGCCAAGCAGTCTGTGGTTTGACTTCTGTGAAATGCTCGGGCAGAGCCACGCCACCTAGACAGAGGTGGACTGCTGGTCTTTAGAGACCCAGAGGGATGACTGGGAATGGAAAGGAGGTCTGTGGGGGGAGGGAGAAGCAGGCGGGTGCTGGTTGCCCACGACTGTGAATATATTAAATGTCACTAATGGTAGAGTTCATGTTCAGTCGCCGCAATGCAAAAGACAACATGCCAGTCTTCACAGCTCACAAGCGTGCAAAACAAGCCCGAACCTGCCACCAGCGGCGGAGGAGTCTGGGCTTGCCGCGGCCTCAGCCTTGTGTCAAGCGCACGCTCAGACTGTTTAACGGGTTCCCTTCTATGAAACACCCTCACTCGGCGAGCGCGTGGGCCTCTCCTAGGTTGCAGCTTTCCCCTCGAGCCTGTCCCTCGACCTCCACACGCACCCAGTCCTTTCTGGGTGGCTGCCCAGGGCGCCCCTGCGTCCCCTTGCTGGGCATCGGGAGGGTCTCCAGGTGCTTGTCACCGCGAGCAGCAGTCCCGGCCACCGGCCACCACGTAAAGTCACCCCACAAGGGCCCGGGGCGCCCTCACGGCCGGGTGTGATCAGAATTCCTTGTTTTTCCACCTGTGAATTGGGGTGCACATCAACCCAGAGGACAGAAGCTGACGCCTCTCAATTTCTCTGGTAGCCAGGAGGTGGCGCCTTTTGTCAAAACCAGGGCCGGGCTGCAGATCCCCGGCCGAGGAGGAGAGGGCGTCACGAGCCCGTCGCGTGCCCGCTCCGTGTGCCCACGTGCCCGCGCGGGTCCGGGCAGCACCGCCCACCCGCGAGCCTCCGAGTGGTGCGGGCCGCAGCGCCGCTGACATTTGCGGCGAGCACACACACCGCGTTTTCTCAGTGTTAATGGGTTTCTGTGCCCTCTGCTGGCTGCCGGGCGCGCGGTGCGCAGTGCGGAGGCAGAGCCCGGGACTGGAATTTTCCTCTCCCCGAGCTTGTTTTCCTCCCCTGCAGACCTGGCCTGACGTCTCAGGTTGACGACGCACTTTTGTGCAAGCTGCAGAGAAAGTTCTCGGCTTTCTATCCAAATCAGCGCGTGCAAAGGCGATTAGTGGCCCCCCAACTGGGGGAATGGTGGGTGCTGGACGGAAACCCTTATTGGAAAGAGGTTGGGGGGCTCGCTGGAAACGGGGCGAGGGTTGATTCCCAGTGCGTAAACATTTTAAGCAAATTAAGCGGTGGCTGTCATGATGATGATGACAGCTACCGTTTTTCAGGTATCACTTCTGTGCCTGGCATCTCATCCTTCTGGTGACAACGGGGGGGGGGGCAGATTTTATTATCCGATATGACACAGGGGGAAACTGAGGTCTGGCAGGGGCCGGTGCCTGGTCCACTGCCGTACAGTCAACGGCAGAGAAGTGTGAACCGCAGCCAGCAGACTGTGAGCCCAGGCCTGTGCCAAGGTGTGGGGGGGCTCAGGCGCCAGGACCTGGGATCTGAAGGGCTCCACCTGGGCCCAGGTGGGAGAGGAGAGTGACACTCACGCCATACATGAGGAAACAGAGGCTCCTGGTCACGCAGCTGGCACGGAGAGACCCAACACAAGATGGTGCTGCTCAGCCCGGCGAGCACCGAAGCTTCCCCAAGGCTGCTCTGCTGTCTGAGATTAGCTGGTGGCCTGCGACAAACTAGCCCCAGATGACACTGGCTCTGCGTTGATAGATAATAAGGGCCTGGGAACAGTTTGAAAGGGGGTTCAGTGTAACTGAATGCAGGACGAGGGGCACCCATAGTCCCCAAAGGATGCTCTCCCTGTGTTGAGGTCGCCAGGCAGCTGACTGGGCCAGGGGGCCATCGGAGTCCATGGAGGAGGGAGGGGACAGTGGCAGGAGCCCTCACCAGGGCTAAAGCCACCAGGGAGAGAAGCCAAAGTGCTGGAAGCCCAGTGGGGCCCAAGGCCAGGAGAGTCTGAAACAGCAGGCATGGAAAACGGCGACATCCCAGCGATCCTCCCAGCACCCAGCACGCATCAGCCCGACAGCTCAGGGGGTTTGCGTGCCCCTGTGATGGCCAGCAATCCTGCCAGAGTTTTCAAGGCCTGGACAGGCTGATGTCCAGGCAACGGGGAGCGTGCTGGAGCAGGGGCTGGGATATGTGACCACTGATCAGCTCTTACAGTGCTGAGCAGCAAGCCAGGGCCCAGCGCAAGCCAGGCAAGTGCTCTTCCACTGGGGTACACCCAGGCCTCAAGCGGGGTGCTCGGAGGGCCTAACATGAAGAGCACCGGATCCTGGGTGTATGTTCAGATGCCCCTGCACAGCGCTAGACCACACTCATTAGTGAGATAAAGATGCCCATGTATGGTCTCATAGTGTGAGAAGCTCAAAGAGACGCGTGAATGTGCATAGAAAACCAGTTAAGATGGTTCCACTCTGGTTTCTGAGTTCCTTGAAGAGAAAGATTCATGCTGGTGTTGTTCAGACAATGAAAGCAGATGCCCTGTGCTCTAGTGAATGATTCTGGATGACGGTGCACCATGTGCATACCGCTACGGCCCCCAGTGATGTGTTTCTAAATTTTTAGTTTTTTCCTCCTCTTTTTCTCCTTGAGATAAAACGTATTTGGAAAAAGATAAAAATGACCCTGCACCAAGATGGATCCAAGCAGCACCCCGGAGAGCCTGGAACTCGCCCGCCGTCTAGCTGAATCGGGGCATGCTGTGGTCCGGGTGTCAGGCATTCGGCTCTCCCAATAACAAAGACAGCAGAGTCACACTCATGCCAGACACACGAACTGGGCCAATGCCACCAGATGAAGTTAGTTACCAGGGTGCCCGTGCCAGCCTGCCCAGCTCCACAGCGGGAACCGGTCTGGCCAGCTCAGCCAAAAGCAGGATCTCTGCTGTTTTGACATCGCTGATGCTAAACTATTTTTCCCCTGACTATTATTTGCCCAACAGATTGCTGAGCTGGGCCAGCCACATAGACAGTGTAAGACCACGTCGTCCACACAGCTCTTCCTTGCTATGACAGCAGGAAACATGCCCATTAATTTAAAAGCCAAATCCGGTCCCTGGGATGGAGGTGGTTACAGACAGAACCACCCTGCGAAGAGGCCCCTGCCACGCATCTCTGCTGCGGAAGACCTGTTGGGTTCCAGAACCGGAGCCGCAAACGGCCAGGGAGTGGGAGCCACGCCGGTCAGCCCAGTGCTTGTGGGCCTGGAGAACCCTCTCTGGGGAATTCAGGTCCGTGTGGCACTCTTCCCATGAAGCAAATCTAGTGTGACGGCAGCAGCCGGCAGTCCCCCGAGAGAATCGCCTTTCACGCCGCACCTAGCACCTTGCTCTGCAAAACTTCAAGCTGACACTGAAAACTCAGGAGGGACACCACCCCCAAGCTAGGCTTCCGAGCGCCCACCCGGGAGCTCTGGGTGACCTGGAGGTCTGTGGCTTGCCTTTCAGCTGCAGCAGGGCCCCCTTCTCACTTCCCGGCTGTGTGGCTCCCCCAGATTGCTCCCCGTGGAGGCCAGGGGGCCCCGGTGTAAGGTTTTGTAGGCCCAAGGCCTGAGTTAGGACAAGGGAAGGGGGTGGGTGGGGAGCAGGAAGCTCGTGGGAGCACTGCTCCCAACACAGGGGGACAGCTGGTAGAGTAGCCAGCTCGAGTCTCTCCTCCGTGACACCCCTGATGCCAGAGCTCCGCCCGTGGCAAAGGTGACAAGGTGCCCCTTCCGAAGACCCACAGCTGCGTCCCCACACCACTGCCCAGCTCGGGCAGGAAGCAGATGCCTGCGAGATGGCTCAGCCAAACCTCTGGAGTCGCAGCAGCAGCCGTGGGAGCGTTTCGTGCCGTGGGTCCCACGGCACACTCACAGCCCACACGGGCACGGCCTCCGGCCATCCTGGCGCTCGTTTTGTGCGGTAACAATAGGGCTGTCATCGCTACTGTTATTAACCCGGTGCATTACAGTCTCCGGAAGGGAGAGACGGTAACTGGGCTCCCATCACCCCAGACAGTGCCACCAGACACAGTGTGCAAAGAGCTCACCAGGCGAGACAGATGCCGCTGCCCGCCAGGTCTGTGACACATCCCTCACCAGGCGCCGACTCCCCTGGCAAACAGGACAGCACACTGGGCGCTGGAGTCAGAGGGACAAGTCATGTTTTTCTGCTCTGATGACCGAGGTGGGCTGGTAGTGGGGGGTCCCCAGTGGTCCTGAGCTCCATAAAGTCCCCGCCCCCCGGGGTGGGGCGGCTTCAGGGTTTTACAAGACCCTGAGCCAGCGCCACCTGCCGGAAGAACTTCCTGGCGGCCTGGTTGTCCAGGCCCTTGGATGACGCCGCGGTGGCCAGCCAGTAGAGCAGGAACATGCGCCGTTCGCTCTGCTTGCGATGCAGACGGCGGGCCACGGTGATGGGCGTCTCCCCGCGGGCGTCCCTGGCGTGGATGGAGGACCCGAACTCCAGCAGGATGGTGATGCAGTCCAGGCGGCCCATGGCCGCGGCCACATGCAGGGCCGTCCTGCCCACTGGGGACTTGCTGAGGCAGCTGGCTCCTGGAAGACAGGACAGTGGGCTGGGCCGAATTAGCCAGGACCCTTGTCATCAGAGACGCTCAAGGAGGCGGGCACAGCGCTGCACACCTAGAATCCCGGCACCCTGCGAGGCTGAGGCAGGAACACCAGTTTGAGCCCAGCATGGACAGCTTCGCCATTTAGTGAGACCTAGTGCCAACATTTTAAAAAGGGCTGAGGATGTGGCTCAGTGTAAGGTCTGTGCTCCGGTACTGATCGTCCCCTCTCCCCTAGCACTGCAACCTCCGTGCTCTTCCCTCTCCACCCCTGGTTCCAACAATACCTGCCTCCTGTTGCCTCTCCAATAGCCCCTGCTCAGTGCCCTTCCCAGGCCCTTTGCACATGCCACTTCCCTTGCAAACCACCCTCACCTCCCCCGTAGCGCTTCCCTCTTTTAGGTCTCATGCGCTCTCTCCAGAGACCCTTCCCCTGCCCACCCTCCCCACACTGCCACCTCCACACTCAACAGACTCCCTCACCCCCCTTCCACACACCCTGTCTGCCGTGGGCCGTGGGGTTAATCGTACTTAACTGCTGACCTCCCCTCATGAACTCGCAAGTGTTGAGCACACTGGTTTTGATCAGTGTGGTTTTCATACGGGGCACGTAGCCCGGGGCCCAGAAAGGACAGGTTCTGTCATGGTGACAGATGACCAGCCGTCTGACCCAGGGACAGCCCTCACCCCGACCGAATTCCTCACGCCGCCGGAGACAGATGGGCTCCTGACAGGTGCCCGGCGTGCACTTGTTGCATGGCATCACACGCAGGGTAACAAATATCTCGACACGGAAAACAAGGCAATTCAATTAAATCCAGCTGACATCTCGGGAGCCGGTTTTGATGAGCTGTGGTTGCTCGGTGAGGTAAAGTTTTAAATAGGCTCAGAATCCGGCGTCAGCCACCGATCTCCTCCCAGGCCGTGCCTGCAGCGGGCGGGAAACTTTGCAAAGCCAGCTGTCATTTTTAACCGGTTCCTTAAAATACATCACAGTTCTATCAGAGGGAAAATGACTTTTTATGAGCTTAAAGGACTGCTGGGCTGTGGAAAGCCCATATTTCACCGTCTAACAGGAGAGGAGTGAACGGCGGCCGAGGAAGCGGAGAGCACAGCGGTGTCACCCGCTCCAGGCACAGAGGTTTATGGGCCCAGCACAGAGCCTTGTCATCCTGCCCCAGCATCAGGCTGGGAAGAGCACAGCCTGGCTGGAGAGAGGCTGGGCAGGAAACAGGGACGTGGGCTGGGGACAGCAGGAATGTGAGAGCCCCAAGCAAGCTGCACCTTGCAGGGTCCCCTCTTTGGTGGCCTGGGTTGTCTGCACGATTGTCTGTTTGGTTTGGAGTGGCTTTCTTTCTCGGTACTGTGGATCGAACCCAGGGCCTTTGCACTGAACTACATCCTGAGAACTTGTTTTGGGGATTTTCGGAAGTTTTTTGACTGTCTGATGTTTGTTTTAAGACGGGGTCTTGCTATGCAATTCAGGTTGGCTTTGTAACCCAGGCTGGTCTCAAACTTAGAGCGATCCTCCTGCCTCAGCCTCCCGAGTGCTGGGATTATAAGTATGCACCGCCACACCTGGCTGTATGATTTTTCTTAAAAGAGTCTTGGTAAGTAGCTAAATTGGTCAAACTTTCAGTCTTCCCGCTTCAGCCTCCCAGAGGGAACCCAGACAGGGCACAAGGAGCCCAGAAGGGACCAGGCTTAGAAGGTGACAGGATTTGGGTCTGGGAAACCACTGCAGCAGAGACCAGGAAGAAAGGGCATGTGCCCGTCGCTCTGGGTTTAGCTTTCCTGAGCATTGTGCCATGATTACCGTGTTCTAGAAGGTACTGCACAGCCTGAGCATGACCTCTGTGGGAGACAATGTACAGCGCCACGAAGGCCCTCTGAGCTGTCCACTGCTTCCACGCTGCGCCCACAAGACGCTCAGAGTTCGCAGTCCGGTAGAAAGAATCTTCGCTGATGCCAAGACAGAACAGCTGGGCAGAGAATGGCAATGGGGTTACTCCTGGGAGTGCAGGTCACTCTAGAAAGCAAGGCACGAGAGGCCGGAGGCTGGCAGGGCTTGCCCAGGGGAGAGTTTGCTTGTCACCGTCCAGGGAGGGAAAGGCGAGGTGCAAAAGCTAAGGCTTCACGGAGAAAATGGGAAATTCCAGGGCAGGAGGGCGAAGGCCATGCAGTCCCCAGGCCTGGCTGGGAGGTAGGAAGGTGTCCTTGTCCACATTTGGGGAGAGAAAATGGCTCTGCTTATACCCAGGGGAAGGCGGCTGTGGCCAGCACAGCAAAGCCCCAGGGAGCAGCCCAGGAAGGAGGAAAGTCTCCCTGGAGACGCAGTGGGTTCTGGCTTCTGGTCTATTTCTGTGGCCACTGACTGCTCTGCCTTTTTTCTTTTTCTTTTTTTTTTTTTCTGAGTCAGGGTCTTGCTATGCAGTTCAGGCTGGCCTTGAGCTCACTTTGTAACCCAGGCTGAGCTCACAGCAATCCTCCTGCCTCAGCCTCCCGAGTGCTGGGATTACAGGCGTGTGCCCCCATCCCCGGCTCCGCTGCCTTTTGGAGCACTCTGAACTGAGCCCCAGATGAATAGCCCCACACAGAACCACCTGGAAGGCTAAGGGGTCCCAGGGCGGAGGAACCCTGCCCCGATGCTGGGGTCAGGTGTGGGGTGCCAGGGAGGGACAGAGGGGATTCAGATGGGGGGCCAAGGCAGTGACAGCTCTGACTCAGGACCTTGGACAGGCGGGACAGAGCCCCACATGCAGCCGGAGGCCCAGCCGGAGTGGAGGGGGGAGAGGGAGATGGACGGAGAGGGGGCCAGACAGGAGGCAAGGGGGGCAGGTACTGGAAGGTACCAAGGCGGGACAGGACCCCGAGCCCCTTCCCACTGCCACCAAGGGTGCAGCCACCCGCCCATCTCTCCAGGCTGAGGCCCAGCGGCACCCTGGCAGCCACCCAGTGCGGGACAAGCCCAGCTTCTTCCTGTCCTCTAGAAAGTGCCCTGTCCTGTCCCAGGGATCCGCTCCTCCTTCCCCGCCCAGAGCATGGCTGCAGGGCCCAGCAGGAGACCCAGAAGCAGCCATGCCCGATGCAGTGCCCAAGCCCTCCCTGGCCCCAGAACGTGGTGCGCTCTGTGTCTTTGTCACACACGGGGCCCAGCTCTGGGCTGCCCTGCACCAAATAATCTAGAGCCCTTCACTAGTGTTACAGTAGGGCTCCAACTCTTGGAATAACCCTAGGGGCGGAATGTGGGGCTCCCTTAACTCTCGAGGGGGATGGTTATAAACCATAAGGAAACCCAGTAAAATCATAAACCCAGAGGGAAAGGAGACATTCGATGTGGGACCCGAAAATCCTGACATAGGTCCTTATCTATTTGTTTTTCTGCTCTGAAGCCTTAACTCAAATATTCATACCAAAGACTGATTTTCCTTCACAACTTGTGGTTGCTTCACAAAACATCCCTTCAAAGAAGCATGAAAACACCTTACTGGGATCCCCTTCCACCGCAGCCACCACCAGGTCGGTCCAACCATCGTAATGCCAGACACACAGAGAAAGGACTCCGCCCGGCACGACATCGTAGAACCTCAGCGAAGTGTTGTCCATCAGATCTCCTGCGGGGAACAAGGGTTCCTTCAGAACAACTTGGGTATTCCAGAAAATCCATTACCCTGGCGAAGAGATTATCTGACCTTAAATATCACAAGGATAATTTTAGAATCCTGAACAAAAAGTCTGCTTTGATGCTTCCACTGGTCTGTGTACAGCTGTTAATGCTTTTTAGAAAATTAATTTGGCTTTGCTTGGAGAGAAGCTGGACCCAAAAATAAGTATTTTTAAAAAATGGCTACAGTTTCTAAAATTCCATCATTATACTTTGTCCTGTTGTGAAAAAAAATACAAGTCAGTAAAGTAATTTTCTGAGGAAAACTCTTCAAACAGAACTACCTGAGCTTGAAATACCTATGTACGGTGGGCGGAGAACCATGTACTTACACAAGTCACATATATTCTAGTAAAATACCAGCTCTGATAAACACTACCATTAGTCTGACTAAAGTGACAGGACCCAAAAAAATGGTTGGATAATGCAAATGACAACCCAGGACACGATGTGGCAAGCGAGGTCCTGGTGGCATGCAGACGGCCTGCAGGACGTGAGCACCATCGCTGGCTGCTCCCCAGCGGAAGCCAACAGCACGTACCCCCATCCTCACAGTCAAATATGGCTCCAGATATTGCCGAAGGCCGGGGGGGACCAGACAACCCCAAAGCAGACCCATGGTGATGTAAGATGCAGAGCTGACATTCGCTCCCCGTGTATCTGCAAGCCAGAGCTCGTGCCAGAAATCGAATTCCGTGCAAGATCAGGCTGAGCTACTTGCCCAGCAAGAACTCAGACACTGGAGGAGACCGCCAGATGCACCAGGAGAGTCACACGAAGTACATCTTCCCATGGGGCAGCTGTACACGCACCTCTGTGGCACATACCCAGCAGGCAGCACGGCCAACTGTGGTCTTAAACGGTAGGATTCGCTTTTTTTCATAAGCAATGGCAAACATAAAATCTCAGATCTGCCCGGGCCAAAGCATCCTACCATCTGAGGGGCAGAATTCATAAGCATTCTACCTTTGTGATGCAGGGATTACGCTGGACACAGGTGCTAAGTACCTGAGTGATTACTCTGAGCTCATGCGAAAGACTACATCCCTAATCCCCATGACAACCTTCTAAGGCCAGCGGCCCGCCAGCTGCCTGGGCACACCGAGGCTCGTCCACCACGGCCAGGCAGAGCTGCCTCGCTGGCTGGCCTCCGTCCCCACCGCGCCTTCGGGCAGCTTCGCCTTCTCAGCAGGGTGGGTGTAAACAGGGGGGACCAACTAGCAAATCTGTTCATCAGGGTCCTGAGTGTGGCCCAGAAGCGGAGGATAATCAGTCATGAGTCTAAGACAACCTGGCTTCCTAACAACTAAAAATATCCAGGGAAATCTGGAGAAGATGGAGCACATCTGTTTTACAAGCCAGTCACTGCCTGGGGCTCACATACTAATTCTTACCGACACAATAAATTATCAAAGTTGGTAACAGCCTGGAGGGTGACCTCCACCTATGAATTTGCTCGCCTGCTTTAGATTTGTGCATCTCAAGATTTTCACACACATGATCTCATCTGATCTTTTCTCTGCAACCTTTGAGGTGGGCAGAAGAGGTGTCGGTCGGTTATTTATGGGCAGTAGCCCAAATTTCTCCTTACGACAAAATAGTACCTTCTCGCTTGCCCCCTGGCCATGCTCAGGCAGGGCTGCAGAGCAGAGAGGTCAAGCGCCCAGCAGTTGCTAAGTGAGAACATCGTGACATCAGTGTGAAATCACCCCAGCTCTCTCTCTCTCCCTCTTAGCTTCCTTGAATTTATTGTTCAGCGCAGCTCATCAGTAAAAATAAATGCACAGAAGGGATCTGGGCATCTGTAGTTGGGGATACATAATTTTCAGATTACTTGTTGGGAAGCTCTTAGTCCTTAATGACTCTCCTCATTCTAACACGTTAAACACAGACTCAAGACACACTTCTCGCTAAATAAAGCCTCCAAAATGCCCAACAGCCTCTCTTGAGTGTCCCTATAGGAAAATAAATATGTCATGAAACAAGTCCAGCCTGCTCAAAAGAGTGCAAAAAAAAAAAGCTCTGGCTTGGGGTTCTAAAGGAAATGAGGGTTGCTGCCTGTTTAGGAAGGTTTGGGAAGGGTCCGTCCCTGGATTTAGAACCTTGCATGTCCGGGACTTGTCTTCGGACTTAGGGTTCTCATGGAGCCCTAGATGGGGTGGCCTCTGGGGTTAGGGGCCAGGCAAGTCTGCCTTGAGATTCCAAGTCTTCGTGGTTTCTTGGATTTGCTCCAAGATTTGGGGGCCTTGACAGAGGCAGGGTTTGGTTTAGAATTTTGGATTCTGGCGTGGGTACGTTCAGGCTAAAAGGTTTGAATTCCAAACACAAAGTTTGCTCTGTGTCCTAGAGTCCTGACACAGGCAGAAATGTTGTTTTGGTCCTGGACTTTCTGAATGGATATGGGTTGGCTTCTGTCTTGCAATGCTGATGTAGACATGGATCGCATTAGCTGGGGACTCAGGGCTCAGATCTGGCCAAGCCGAAATTTGGTTCTGGGGTCAAAAAGGGGGATTTGTTTTGACATTTGACGTCCTCATGGGGACATGGATGCTGGAGGATTCAGGATTCTCAGGCAGTGATGGGTTAGCTTGGAGATTTGGGGTTCAGCCTTGCACGGTATGTTCTGAGTTTGAAGGGCCTGAGATAGAGTTTGTTTTACACTTTGGCACCCTTTAAGAACAAGGTTACTAGAAGATTGAGGTTGTGAGGTGGTGACAGCCTGGCAATTTGGGGTTCCGTCTTGGAGTTTTTTCTGCATTTGGGGGTCCTAGGATAGTATCTGTTTTGAGATTTAATGTCTTGGCCTGGACACTGTTGATATGTTTGGAGTTTCTGAGGTAGAGGTTAATTTGGGGTTCAGACTCAGGCAGGCTTGTCCTGGACTTCTGGGTCCTGAAGTTTATTCAAGTTTAGACATCCTTACATACACGGGCTTGCTTTGGGGGCCAAAAGTCATGCTTAGCCTCTGGGTTGGGGCCCATTATTTGGCCAAGTCTGCTCTGAGTTTGAGGGTCCTGCAGTGAGCAGGTTTAGCTTCCTTGGAGGGTCACGGTTGATGGAGGATCCCGGATTCTAAAGTAGTGATGCTTATCCCGGAGATTTGCGATTCAGTCTTGGGCAGGCTTGTTCAATGTTTTGGGGCCCTGAAGTCAGGAGGGTTGTGTCACCCTTGCAGGGACCCAGATAGCTACAGCAACTGGGTTTCTGACGTTCTCAAGTCAGCAGCCCCAAACCCTGTGAGTCTAAGTGAGTCTACAGAGGGCTGCAAAGAGAGGGCATCAAGTGTGCCCTGGGTTGTAAGGTCCTACCGAGGACAGATTTTGCTTCAAGTTTACAATCTGATGTAAACCTGGTTGGATTGGGCATTTGGATCTCTTTGGAAGAGATGGGGAACTTGAAAGCTAGGGTGGGGTGTCCCTCTGTGGCTTTGGGGTTCTAGTATGAACAAGACTTGTTCAAGGTTGGTGGATGTCGCCTAGCACAGACAGGATCTGCGTGTGGACGAGGGGACCACACTGCACCAGGTTTGCTTTGAGACTTGGGGTCCAATGTGAACCCAGGGCATTTGGCTTGGGAAGCCCCTATGTGGCCACCACCCCAAGCAGCTCCTCCATCTAGGGTTTCAAGGAGCTGGGTTTACTTTGACATCTGGGGTCCTCCTGCAGGCAAGCTTCCCTATGGAACTAAGGAGTGCTCATGAGCAGGAGTGGGCCGGGCAGAGCCACCTCGGTCCAGGTACTGCAGCCGCTGGAGGTGGAAGGGGATGCCGACCAGCAGCTCCAGGTCCTCCTTGAGCTCCCGCACAGTCATGTCGCTGCGGCAGTGTGCCACCCGGAACAGCTCCCCGGTCTCCTCCAGCCTCACCCGCACCGAGATGATGTCAGGGACCAGGTCGAGCCCCTGCGGGTCACTGGCCAGCTGCCCGCTCCGCCCGGGGGTCCAGGCAGGGCCTCCCACCGCCCAGGGGTCAAGGCGGGCCGAGGCCGAGGGCTGCTTCGGCCCTGCGCCGCCCGCCGCCTCCGCCTCCGCCTGCTGCATGTCCGCGCGTCATCCTGGCTCGATGCGGTGGCCGCGCGTCATTGCCGCCCCCGCCGCCCGCGCCCAGCCTGACTGTGACGCCCGGCCTGCGGGCCGCCCCCGCGCGCGCGGGGCTCTGTGAGGTCGCCGAGCCGCCCCCGCGCCAGCCCCTGCGGGTGACTGAGCCCGGGAGGACCCATGGGCCCAGACCCACGACGGCTTCCCACCCACGCCTGCGGGGAGCAGAGGAGGAGGAGGGAACGCAGGGGGAGGCCACAAGGGAGCAGGGGGAGCAGAGGGGAGGGGGGCGCAGGGGAGAGGGACAGGGAGAGCAGAGGGGAGTGGGGGGGCAGGGGCAGTGGGGGGCAGGGAGAGGTCAGGGGGAGCAGAGGGGAGTGGGGGAGCAGGGGCAGTGGGGGGCAGGGAGAGGTCAGGGGGAGCAGAGAGGAGTGGGGGAGCAGAGGGGAGCGGAGGGGGTCCCAGGCGCACCTCCAGGGCTAGCTCAGCACTTGGGGAACAGCACAGGCCGCGCCCTGCCCTCCAGCCCCTCCTGCTGCTGTCCCTTTTACCGGGAAAACCAACCCAAGGGTGAGCTCTTGCTGCCTCCCCCCTCGCCTGTTTAACAATTAGGGCGAACCACCCGCGGGGTTACAAAGCCTGTGTGTCTCCGAGGCGGTGAAGTGCATCTGTGATGGGTTAACCACGTTTCCAGCCCGCAGGGGAGCTGCAGAGTACAGCGGGCTGGGCGCCCCCAGAACTCCTACATCTGCAAGCCCCATCAAACCCGACCTGAAAAGGCCCCTTGGTGCCTGCCTATGGGGGAGCCACTCAGTGGGGAGCGCAGCCCTGGGGCGGGAGGAGGGGTCCCCCGTGCCTCTGTGAGGGGCCAATTTCCAGAGCGCCTTCAAACCATAAGTCCCCTGGCAGCCACTCCTGCAGAGGGCCTGCGGACGGCTGAACTCTGCGCACAGGAGCTAGGCGAGGGAGGCCCGAGCCAGAGAAGGCCGAGGTGGGCCAGAACGATTCCAAACAAGTCCCAGTTGACACAAAATAAGAAAAAAATGTAACTTTTATAAAAAAATATTTTTGCAAGGCGTAACAGCCATTAAAAACAAAACTGCGGTGGAAAGGCATCTGTATTAAATGCTGGACAGTCTACGTATAAACTGCAGCGCAGAGGTCAGCGTGCACCAGCCTGCCCAGAGTGGGGGAGGCGCGAGCCTCGAATGCGGCAACGCCTCACGGGCTGAAGATCATTCTCCCCCCAATGGTACATTAAACTCTGCATAAAAACAAGATTCCAGCTGAGCACTCCCACTTGCGAACTCAATAGACTTTTAACAACATGACAACCTCGAGTTTTAGGCAATTTATTACAAATTACAAACTGCTTGATACCAAAGCAAAACTATCCATCTCTCTTACCTTGGGCAAGTATTCCACACAAGACGGATTTTTAATGTAACCTTTAATTTTAATGAACTTTCTGCCTAATGTGTGGATACTACTCTGGCTTACAATTTAAAATTCTCAAACACATCCCGCTGGCTCTCCGGCACAGGAGAGATTCCTTCCTGCCTTCCTAGTTTTGGTACTGGAGATCAAACCCACCACCGTGCGCCTACCAGGCAAGCGCTTAGGTGGCTGAGCTGGACCTCCAGCCCTCCCTCCTTCCTTTTTAAAGAATCAGCTCAGTGAATCTGGGGGTAGGAGGAAGGATATCCTGCATCCCAAGAAACTCAACACAGAGTTTCAGAAATTTCATTCTAAAACAGACAAGAGCTACGAAAGAATGATCCCAGGGGAGCCCCAAAGAGCTCCGGCGGCCAGGCGGCCACTTCCGGCCTGCGCCAGGCTGTTCTTTCCTGCCCTTGAGCCGCACCTTTGAGAAGGTAAAAGAAATAAGAAAAATTGCAGCAGCATACAAAACCCTGTTATTAGTTAATGAATAACCAGTTTAAACTCCAAAGCATCATTCTCCCAGTGTAACTTTCTAAAGCGTGAAATCCAAGTTCGTGTCCTTAAACCAACTTGAGGAGGAGCCAGTCATTACCCCGCCCTGCATCGCTGGCATTGGGTGAGCAAGTTCCAATCAGAACGATGGCTTCCTATTTTTTTTGTTAAGATCTCAAAGCAGTAGATGTAAGGTCCGTATCTATGCATCCCAATTACAGCTCCCCTCCTGAGTTCTTAAACGTGTGACACGATATCCACATAAAAAGTGAAAAGTCGTTTAGCTTTCTGTCCGTCGAAGGCTAACCCACATCACTGTGGATAGACTTCCTGCAAGAACAGGGCTGGAGGGTTTGAAGAACTGGTCCAACAAAAAAGAGTTGATAACAAAACCAGAACATTAAAGGGTGGCTGTGAACCCTCTTTAGGTTTCTTTATCACACTGTTCAAAAGTAAACAAACTGGGCTACATCCACAGCCACTCTAAGTGGCCATAAATCCACCGATTTGTCCAGCTCATTGACAGAAGGCTCACATTACATTATTTACATATACACAGTGTTTCAGTTTAAAATATAACACCATAAACTAGATTTTGTAAGTAAGTATGAAAGCAAATATGCAGGTCTAAGAAAGACAAGAACTTCTAATGAACCCCTTGACTGGGGCCACAGGGACGATAAATTACACAGCCCGTCACACAGGAAACCAACGCTGGCAGGTGGCAGGCAGCAGGTGGCATGGAGGAGGCCTGGCCCCCGTTGATGGCCAGGCCCACGACCTCGCCACAGACATCCCGCTCAGGCCGGAGGGAGGGGCGGGCAGCACAGCACTGGCCCGGCCGCCTGCCTGAGTCCCCAGTTGTGCTCAGCCCACAGCTGCAGGCGGGGACAGCATCAGTCACATATCCCTTCTTCAGCAGGTGTGCACTCTCGGTTCTGCAAGTTCCAAGCCTCATGTGCCAGCACGAAACCACCAGCCTGCAGTTCATCACCGAGGGGCTAAGTTTGCTTTTCCAGGTCAGCAGTGTCTGATACATTCTGCTGCTTTGGGTCTAGGGTGACAGAAAGGGAGACATCCTGGTCGCGGTCAGACTGCAAAGCCAACACAGTCCCGTCAATGACTTCAAGATGAGGGTTACCGGCATTTCTAAGATATGCTGAGGAAAGAAAACAGTGTGAGTCCCATGTGCCATGAACTGTGTTCTAAAACATGCTCTGGTTTTGTTCTATTTTGGTTGTTTTAAACTACATGTCAGAATAAATCACTTTTGGTACAAAAGCCATATGCATTAAGACCTTTCAAATAATAAAACGTCTTAATCCAAGTCTTAAATGTTAAAGATGGACTCCCAATGGTTATGCATACTTTTAGCAGTACAGGAAGTGGCGGGGTGTGGTGGCACTCGGGAGGCTGAGGCAGGAGGGTGGCTGTCAGCTCACGGCCCAGCTGAGCTACATGGGGAGACCCTGTCTCCAAAAGTTTAAGAAAGTTACAGTAACCAAATGCTGTTCCTATCTTTTTTACCCAAAAAACAAAAGAGCTGGTAATGTAAGGAATACAGGAGGAGGAACAGACTGTTGGCAGGGGTGCAGCGGCAAGAACAATGCTCTGTTCCTGCTTGGGAGTTTAGCTGTTTCCTGTATTCTAGTGTAGAAATAATACATCTACAGAGCACAGCTTACATTAGGTCTTGTTTGGGTCTAAAATGATCAGCTAGGTTGAGTTATGTCTTCTTACCAACTACAGAATAGTATCATTACAATTTAGTAGCAGCTAAAGCCTACGCTTGTTATCATTCATAACTTTTCGTATCGTAACTCAAAACTTACAAGCCTCTCCAGGAATGCAGCGCGCTCCTGCAATCCCAGCACTCCGGAGGCCGAGGGAAGAGAACTGGCAGTTCAGTCCCAGCCTGGGCAATGCAGCAAGATCTAGTTTCAAAAAAAAAGCTGGCATGTAGCTTAGTGTGAAGGCTCATTCCATCCCTAGTACCAAAACGATAAAAGTACAAGTTTCCCCCCTTTCTAGAATTCTCCTTCATTTCCTTAGGCGTGCTGCAAATGCACATGAAAGTTAGCGCACTATTTACATGATGCGTCTAACATCTGCTATCAGACAACATGTCCTCATTTCCCCAAGGACGCCTCGCAGCTGGGAATCAGTACCCTTTGCCATCAAGGTCTGCCACAGAGCCTGGGCCAGAGACCTCACGTTGGGCACACAATCTGACTTGCGGCTCAGGAGGCTGGGAAGCAGGTGCTCAACAAACTGGTCCAGCGGACACACTCCTGGCTCACCATGGCCTGCACAGAGAGACACGGCAGTGGCGCTTAGCAAGCGTGCGGAGCACAGGTGCTCCTCTCATTCCTGCGCAGCCCTCTGAGATCTACAGGCCTGAGGGGCTGTGTCTGGGAACCTTTTAAGTCTCAAGCACTGAGTCTGGCTGGAGACATCATTCATACGAACATCATTAGTACTTTTTACATTTCTTACTATGACCCATCCATCCCCAGTACAAGCACTGGTGGACAGCACACAGGCTTTGGGGTCCGACCTCATCCCTCCGGGCCAGAGCCCAGCCCAGGCCCTGCCTAAGCGCAGGGTTTGGCAGGAGGCTTACCCTCCTACCCTGTTTCCTCGGTGGTCCAGTGGCGGGACTGTCCCACAGAGCAGCCGCACCCCAGTCCTGCCACACTGCATTCTGCAGGCAGGAAGGGCTCCGGATCTCACCTCTGCATGCATCGGGACAGACTCTGAGAGCCAAGCTCTGGCTGTCCGCCACGCCCTAGGCCAACCTGGTGCCTAGAGCTCTGTAAACACCACCCACTCCAGCACCTGAACAGCTTCTGTACCTACAGAGTTTTGTGTACACTTCCTCACGCGAGTCTCACAAGCAGTCTTAGTGGTCAGTGTTAGCCCAGTCAGAAAATTCTGGTCCAACGTGGCAGTCACATTCAAGTCTGCCAACAGGTGGCAGCAGGGTGGGATCAGAGCCAAGCACTTGAGTTCTGGGTATGCGGGCCAGGAGTAGTGCCCGTCCTGGAGCTG